GCAAGTTACGATGCAACATGCTATTGGCTTATCTAACCGAGACAAATCGTGCCTATTCTTATCGTTTCGCGTGACGCGATATCAAAGAAATACACGCTGCATCGATCGCCTTTTCCTTATCCATGTACGAGTGCATTGACGTTACAAGAAGCCCGGCACACATATTGATCTTGTGTGAAAAAAACGAAGGCCAGCTATGTCCGCTAAGACCGATAAACACATTCAAGATTACTGATTTTTTTGTTTATTACGCAGATTCTAGTAGGTAAATATTTTTGATATATCTACTTATTTATAAATGTATCATGAAAATATTTAACAAAAAACTTATACATCAGAGTTATATTAATAATTTAATAATTTGATGTTTTAAAATAATATACATCACATATTTTATGCTTTATATATATTATATAATTAGATAACTGATTAATTAGATAAGTACATTTTTCCAAAAAACGGGTATATAATTTTAATTATTTTATCAATCAATCAAAATTAAGTTAACTTTTTTATATCTCTAAATTTTTTCTTTTCTTTAGTAATAATAGATTGCGGTAATTTGTTCGCCGTTGCTATTTATAGCGTAAAGCGTCATTTGTAAACGAGATAAATCAAGACAATTTCTCCGGCGATGCGAATTATACATACAAGAACACATACATTCTCGTTATTTGATAGTGAGCGACAAAGCAAGTATTGTTTTAGACGTGACACATTGCTGCCAAAATTGATGTCGCCAGCTTCAGCTTTACGGACACTATCAATAATTACTACTGACTCTGTCTCTCTCTCTCTCTCTCTCTCTTCGGCATTTCGCAAACGGTAAGCGTTAAAGGAATCTCCGCGCGACTTTCTGCGCGATTCTTGAGGCGGAAGTCACCTCGAATGTGATTTCGAGAAAGCAGCAACGAGGACGATGGCTGGTGAGTTCGTTGGCTCGTTTTGCGAGCAGAATTACCGTTTCGATCAAATAGCAATTTCTGGCTTCGACACTCAGCAGTAGTAGCAGCAGCGACAACACAGCAGTAGCGGGGATCCCCAGTTTTGGCGGCTGCGACCGCGGGTCGATCGCACTTGCTAGGTGGAAATTTGATTTTATTAATAGGCCACGATCGATGGTGTATAATTTTAATGCAATTACATCCCGCCCGCCGGCGCCCCAGTCATGTTGAATCGGACGTAAATTTGAACGGCCGAGAAGTATAACGACAGTAGTAGTCACGAAGATCGATCAGACGCGATCGAACGATGCCGTTTCGAACCACTTTGCTGTTACAACGACGGCGCATATATCGTTAAATTCAGTGCCACTTGGCACAGTGACAACACTTACCGCAAAACTTTGCCATTTACTACAAATTCCTCGATGGATAAAGCTGAGAGAAGGAGACAAATAAATTTTGAAAACAGAGACGCAATTGGAGGAGACGTGATATGAATTCGTCAATTTTAAATGATATTGTACGAGCAATCGATTTCGTGAAGTAAATAGTTAAAGGTATTAAACTAAAAATATATAAACATAAAAAATTATATTATTTTTATTGAATAATATAAATCTTTTAAATCTCAAATTAAAACTTTATGTATTACTTATATTGCTTACTGGAAAATTTATGCATTGTTTATTGAAAATTGACTCTAACAATAACTCTAAAGACTATCTGTTCTTTTAATGATGAAACTTTCATGCCGTTTGTGCATATTTTTGTATTTGCTTATATCTACAAGTATAATGTGGGACATTATTAACACAATAATGTTCTTCAATTTAGAAAAATGTTAGATTTGAAAGTTACAAATTTTTTCATGTTACACTTTTCAGGTATATTTTAGAAAGTATCCGAATAATTAAGAGTGAGTGGTTGCGCCTTTGGCGCGCTGTTTCAGTCGATTCCCAGATGCACCAACTTGATAATGATGCATCGTTATATCGCTACGGTGAATTATGATTGCGCATTCATCACGATGATAACATCGCGCCATACAGGTCGCCGCAAATAAGACGGACACGTCTCTTTGTCTTGCAACGCCGACAGCTTTTATGGCATTATATTTAATGCTAAATTTACTTCCCGTTTCCTTCCGTTAATAAACTCGGGAAAAAATACCTCTTATTTGCTCATATTAATAAATATATAATTATATATGATCATGTAAGAAATGGAAATGTGATCATGAATAATCTTACATGATTATATATGGTTATGTATTCCTACAAAACTTCTTTGAATATAGTCTTATAAAGTCGTACATTCTCTTATTTATGGTATTTTCTTGTATATATTATTATATTTGATTATATAAAAGCATACTTATAAGGTCAAATCTAATTATATATGAACATATATACTTGGATCTGTCTAAAAAGTCAAGTACTGTAGCGTTTATATATACAATATTCCTTTAGTACATTATTACAGTTTCTTAAATCTTAAGGTTTAAATAATAATTTAACAATTTGTTACAGAAATAGAAATTCCATATAACAGAAAGATCATGATTATTGATATAAGAAGATCAGGCTTTATTTATCCTGATATTACAAAACAAAAATGATAAGACCTATAAATAACGGAGAATTTTTTATTAACTTGTATAAATGAACACATTTTTTTAAAAAGAGATTATATTTAATTTTGGAGATTATATATATGTAATCATAATTAAAAATTATATAAAATAGAAATGTCGCTGGATTAATCATAATCATTGTGTAAAATTCGTAATGATATGCATCATACAATTATGTATACGTATTGGTCAATTTCTGACATATGTTAATATTTCTTTTAGCAATATGCGCTCATCGTTAACATTATTATAAATGAAAGTGACATTATCTATACTGATTGACACATGCTAAAAGCAGCTGGCGTATTTCGTGTGTTTCAAATTAAAATTAAAATTTTTATTTTTAACTTCAGATTAACACATTTACAATCTTATTGCTTGACTTCTTTAACATAACTGCCGAATTTTACTTCATTACTGAGGAAAATGTCTTCTTAGATTGATAATAAAATAAATTTTTTTGTATTAAGACAAAAGTAAAAAAATTCTACTAGAATTCTCGACTATTAAATACAAAAAAAAATACAACTTTAAAATATTCTTTTTTTAGATAATTAAGTTTTTTAATTTGTGCACCGTTTATTATGTTTACTTCCATATGGCCTTTATAAAAATTAAAAAAAATGAAAAAATAGATTTAATCTTGAAGTTATTTTTGTTGTTGTAGTAATTTTCAAAATTTATTTTATAATAACGGCGTAACTACTTACACTTTTGATAGCAACATCAAATTTGTTATTTCTTATTTTTTTAGAATAAGTATTTTTACTAGTTAACATATCACAATAATTATAATACGAATTACTAAACTCGTTGCCAGTCTCTCTTTCAATTTACGAAATAAATAGAGTTGATTAGATATCCTATATATAGCAGGCACTTAACATATACGGAATAAGAATAGGTTTGATGTTAGTCTTTGTAATCGCGCCTAATCAAGCAGAAGTTCAATCGAGAAATAATGAACTTACTTCTTAACTGTTAGCTCAAATATTAACTTCATGTTTCATGGATAATGAATCAAATGTAGAAATTGAGACAGACAGAACGGCGATTCAAAATTTTTATGCCGGACAATCAGTTTTTATTACAGGTATGTAGTATTTATAATCTTACATTAAATATTGTTTTTTTTTATTAATAAGAATTCTTTGATACATACTGTAATTCTTAAATATTTTTTGGCACTAAGTTGAATGTACGTATCTTTACTTTCTTATTCTGTTTCTCTTTCATTAGGGAGTACCGAATTTCTCGGAAAGATCTTAATTGAGAAATTTTTACGAAGTTTCCCCGATATTTCTATAACGATATACATATTAATACGATTAAAAAAGGACAGGAATCCCGAAAGCCGACTGGACAAAATGTTTGAAAACACGGTAAATGAAGAAAAAACGAAATTGAATCGTAACGTCGCAAAGCATTTTCCTAAAATCTGTAAAATGTGTAATTTGTAGCTTTATGATTGTGTAAAAAAGGAAGTACCAACTTTTCGCTAAAAAGTTGTGTCAATCATAGGCGATCTTTAGCTTGAGGACTTAGGAATGTCGGAAAATGATAAAAACATTCTAATACGTGAGGTAAATAATTCGTGAGGTTATTCTCATTACACCTTGATTTATATCACATACATTTTAATACATAAAAATTTATTATGTGCACACATATACGTATGTACACATACAATGAGTATATATTTTTAATTAGAATTATTAAAGTAGCCAAAGAAATAAAATAACCCTTTTCTCTTTTTCTCGATTATTTTTATCCTATATATTCTCAAAAATTATAGAATAAGTTATATTTATTTTATATAGGTATCCATCATTTTTTATGTTGCGGCTAATGTACGTTTTTATGAAAAAATCAAAGTTTATATACGAATAAATGTTGGCGCTACCGATACCGTTTTGCGGATCGCTAAACTTATGTCAAATTTAAAGGTATAATTCTATCATCTAAAAGCTAAACATGCTAATAATAATTAGGAAAAGTTATTAATATTTACACAAATATTGTCTGTTTCTGGAATAAATTTAATCGATACTTTATTAAAGTTTTTTTTCATTTATATCATATTTATCTTATATGCATTTATTTATGTATCAACCGTATATGTGAACGTATTCGTGAAAAATATCGAAGAATGTGCTTATACACATCCTATTAATTACAAAGATATTACATTTGCACATATTTTATATGAAAGCGTAATGGAGAAAAAAATCGCTAAGTATGTAATATTTCGTATTTAAATAATATGTAAATAATTAAATATATCAATGCAGTTTAAGTAGTATAACGTTAAACGTAGTAGAATGACATCCAACGATCAAAATATAATGTCTGTTTGTTAACATACGTAATATCGTTTTTTAACGTCACTCTACTATTAATTCATTTAAATTATCATTTTTCAGAATCAACTCACAATGGCTAAACACATATACATTCACCAAAGCGATTGTGGAAGTACATTTCAAAGATGAAGGCAGAGATTTGCCAATAGGAATATTTCGACTTGTCGTAAGTAAGTAGATTCATTAATTTTATTACTTAATATATAAAACAGTAAATTTTTTTAATTTTTAGATTTTCAATCCAAGAATTTGTTATGTCATATTCATATAAAATTATTATTGATTGTTTATACAATTATCCGTTCCGGATTACTCAATATCGGTTAAATGCAATGTATAATTTTAAACTTTATTATCATCATTATCACAGCGACCTCTCTAAAAATTTAAATCTTACAGAAAAATAAAAAATATTAAGATTAAATTTGAATAAGATTTACATATCGTATACAACATACACATCATAAGCTTTAAAAAATATTTTCTTATAATATAATGGAAATAAAATGTAATTATTATTCATCAAATATAAATAATCATCAAAAAATTTAATACTGTAGAAATAATATTTCAATACGATATTAACATAGAACCGTAAGTCTATAATAGTTATGTTTACGCGCAAATTTTTGCAAATTTATGAGTAGAAATAAAAAACATATTTTGCAGTTTCATGCAGTGCTAGTGATGAACTGCTTGTCGGATGGAATGACAATTTTTTTAGAGCAATAAGATTTACAGTCTTTATAACAAAAAGTATTCAAAGATTTATGCTATGTAATCCTGACGTCCCCTTACATTTTGCCCGTCAATTTTACCGGAAACGCATTAATTGCGAGTGCTTGGAACGTCTTTAATCAAAGCAGGTATAATTATCGTATACATAAACGTCAACCGCACTTTTACAAGCAATGTATGTACGTTTTTATGAGAAATTCAAATTTCATATACGAATAAATGTTAGCTCTACCGATACCGTTTTGCGCGATTACTAAACTTATACCAAACTTGAAGGTATAATTCTCCTTTTTCTAAGAGTAAACAGTCTAATAATAATTAGAAAAAGTTATTAATTTTTAAGTAAATATCGTCTGTTTCTGATATAAATTTTAGTCGACTTTTTATTCCGCGGTCTTTATTGATTAACATTTATCTTACAGACATTTATTTATGTATTGATCATATATGTAAATTTTTGCGTGAAGAATGTCGAAGAAGTTTACACACATCTTATTAATTACAAAAATATTATTATATTAGCACGTACCTTATCCTAAAACGTAATAGAGAAGAAGATCGCTAAGTATGTTTTATTTCGTAAACAAGTTAAATATGTAAATAAGTTAATATATCAATGTCATACTACGTACAGTGTTAGCTACTACGTCGGATATAGTAAAATGACATCCAAAGACAAAAAAATTACTGTCATTTAATTACTGTCATGTAAATGATTTGATGTATAATATACGTCGTTATACGGTATGTCGTTTTTTAACGTCAGTCTGTTAATATATGCAGTTAAAGTATTATTTTCAGAATCACTTCACAATGACCGAATATATATACATTCACGAAAACAATTACAGAAGCGCATTTCAGAAACGAAGGCGGAGATTTGTTAATGGGAATATTTCGTTTTGCCATAAGTAAATAGATTAATTAATTTTATCTTTTGATATATTAAACTTTAAGGCCGTTTTTTTCATTTTTGTAATATTCAGCTTCTTTTTTTGAGAATTTATTAAATCATATTTATATACAATTACTTTTGATTGTTTATATAACTATCTACACCGAATTACTCGACATCGATTAAATTTATCCATAAATGTAATGTATATAAACTTTATTATCATTAATTATTACACCGGCATCTTTAAAAATAAATGCTTGCTTAAAATATAAGGAATTACAAATATCATTAGATTTGAATAAGATTTACATATTGTACACAACATGCTTATTATCGATGTCGAGTAATAAACTTTAAAAAATATGTTTTTAATGTATAATGGAAAACATGTAATTACTATTAAGTCATCAAAAAAATTAGTACCGCAAAACCAATATGCCGTGATATTAATAGAACCGTGTGTTTATAATTGCTATGTTTATGTAATATAAATTTTTGCGAATCTATAATCGAGAAGGAATAATCAACATCTTTTTCAGTTTCATCTAGTGCTAGTGAACCGCTCGTTAGATGGAATGACAATTTTTTTGGGAGCAATAGGATCCACGGTCTTTATAATAAGCGGTACCCAAAGATTTACTATGCAATCCTGACGTCTCATTAAATTTTGTGCCCGTCGATTTCATCGGAAACACATATTAATTGCGAGTGCTTGGGACGTCTTTAATCAAAGCATACCTATTACGTCTATGGGTAATAATTAGTAGTCCAGTATAAATCACACAAGTATCTCAAAAACTACAAAATATTTCTGACAGATGGCGATACTAGTATGTATTTAACAAATAAAAAATTTAAGTTTTATAACAATGTATATATAAAGTTAGAATTCAGTTAGTTTATAGGACTAATTATAAGTTTACATTTACATTTAAAAACGGAATACTACTTTAACATTTAAAAAATATACAAAAGGGAAGCATGTAGATGGAGCCGGATGATCTATAATGGATGTTCTCGGCGGGAAATATCCCCTAGCTTGTATATAAAATAAAAAAATAAAATAATAAAATGATTAATTTTGAATTGTAAATATAATTATGTCATTTTTAAAACTGGAAAACTTTAGGTTATGTAGGTTTGGGCTTGAAATTGAAATAGCGCCTAACGTTCAGTTTCAGAAATATTATTCTGAGTTTGTTAATAATTTATGGCATGTACACTCGCTCACTAAAAGGTTGCGACACTTTCTTTTTTATAGGTTTGAAAACGCACTAATATTTTGCAAATGCGGACCACGATTGGTGTTACTGCCTCTAGACTAAAGATAGTACATCGTGGTTTGCATTTGCAAAATATTAGTTATCTATAAAGTATATATTACGTATATTAAATATAAATTAGAAACCTATAAAAAAAAAGTGTCGCAACCTTTTAGTGAACGAGTGTACACCATATATTTAAAAAATGCATCTATAATAACTCTATTAATTATGCACTGGTTATTCTGATTATCATCGCGTTCGAGCTGCTTTGATTAAGAATCTCATTTTTATCGTTGCTAAATAATTAATTACTTTCTATCGTTATAATAATGGATTGAGATCTTTGCCAAATTAAAAAAGAGAAACACAATAAGTTTGAATATAATTAATTACAGTTATTGTAAATTTATTATCTTTTTTATTAACACCAAATTACAATGAACTGATCATACTGGTTATACTACTTTATAGGATCACAATATGTAAAAATATGCATATTGCAGTCGCGCAGTTTTTGTTTTGGATCCAATGAAATATAACGTGATAGGAATGTACATATACACGCGCAGATAAATTATTAATATTTTTTGTAATAAATTTGTATTGTTAAAGATAAATCAATAGCCGGTATAACCAATATAAAAACAAACATTGTGTAACTACGTATTGCGTACGGTATTTGCATAACTACGCGCTTACTGTAAGAAAATTTATGTTATCATGCAAATACCGTTTCATAATTTTTGTTTTTAAATGGATCCAAAGTTATGTAACGCGACAGGGTTGTATGTACATACGTGCGCACACAACTTATAAGTATTTATTGTAATAAATTGTATGCTCTTAAGGGCAAAGCAATGGTTGCACGCCTTCGGGAAGATCAGGATGATCAATAAGCACACTTATTGTATAATTACAGAGTTTGTTGTAATTATTTAAAAAAATTATGTTTATGAATTATGATAGGACACGCTCCATTCTGTCCTGAATTTATATCCCTTAGAAAAATTTCGTACTGTAAGTATTAAATTGATTAGTGACGATAACTTATTTTGAGTATTAAAAGCACTATTGTTATTATTTTTTTTTAAGATATATTGTTTCCGAGAAATTAATGAATAAAATAAATCACACCTTATACCACACAGAATATGCTATATATGGCGCAGGCTATATAAAGAACTAGTTACTCTGTATTTCTTTTCAGTCTTCGATGTTAAAGCAAATCAAGCAGACTGATTGTTAGACCGAGCTCACTGAGATCGAGAAGTTAGAAAATCAACAAATAATATTTATTTCTCTGTGTTAACTTCGTGCATTGTGAATGGTGAATACAACATGGAAACTGAAATACATAAAACATCAATACAAGATTTTTACGCCGGACAGTCAATTTTTATTACAGGTATTTGACATGCAAGTGCAATAACAAAATAAAATATTATCCGAGTAAAAATTGAAACTCATGCCTGTCTAGTCATGAGATAGAACAATTATGTCTTACATAACTATAATCTTGTCAAGATTTTTTAACTTGCTAACCAGTAATGTAACACTCTTCTTCTAGTAGCTTTAACAAAAGTTAGTTAATTGTTAGAGGAGAAAAAATAAGAAGAAGCTGTCTATTAAACTTAGATGATTTAAATTGATCTTTTTATTAAGGTTCTTTTTAAGTGGTGGATATTTTTATTTTTGTAAATCTTATAATTATGCACTACTTAATCGTAATTCAATTTAAATTATATTTGAAAGACTTGTACCTGATGGAACTTTGACCTGAAACCCTTGGCTTTTTAAATGATTGATTATCTTATACTACACTACTACATTGGCTGATAAACAGATGTATTGTTTGTCTAACATAATTATGTTTTTTTCCAATAATATAATTTAATTATACAAAAAAGCAAGTTTGTAATTATGTTATAAATTATCTTTTTTATTTCTAATTTAAACAACGATATATTAACGAGATGTATCGGAAAAAAATTACTTTTTATAAAAGGTAGATTTATTTTTAAACATTTTTTAAGAAATTTTTAAATTAATTTAAACTAAACCGATAATTTCTATATTTATCTATTTGTCTCTTCTAGCTGTATGTATACAAATTTTTGTTAAAATCAGAATCATTGGATTTGCAAAATTTTCTTATAAGTCATATATTTTAACTACTAGGCAGTCATTAAACAAATATTTTTAAGAATAAATAAGATAATTTTTCTTGGAAAAACCTGTCAAGAGCATGTATTGAAACAGTGGGTCACATATTTTATTAATAGAATTCCAACAGCAGCCGATCACAATATGCTGGTTTTTTAATGTCAGTAGAAACATATTAGGAGCTGAGCTGGTCTTGACAGCATGATGGCAAAGTATACTTCATTTCTCTTGCATTTCCATTGTTGTATAATAACTGACAAGTCATAATTACAGAAATCAAACTTAAAGAGAACACAGTGCTTAGGAATCCTGCTTTAAAATCATGGTCGAATTTGATAATTGCTGACAATTGCTGTACCATTTACTCAATCTTAATTAAAATGGATTTATTGATCAATTTAAAATTAATAACTGAATAACTAGACTATAGTATCATTATAAACATTTCTATTTGCTAATAGAAAATTAATTTTATATATATGTATGTATATACAGAATGTCCCAAAAGTTCCGGAATGGACAAATATCTCCAAATTAAAGCATTTTTGAAAAGAAATGTTTTAGATAAAAGTTGTGGAGTTGTGTAAAAGACGCATAATATGATGGTAATGTAATTGTGACCTCGGTCATTGTTACATATTAGGCCTGTTCTTTTTAGCTGAACTGACTACACTAGTTTATAGTTTATTATTCTCTTTCTTGAAAGAAGCAAGATAAGATAAAATAAAATTAAGATAAATTCTAAATAAGTACAGCCAATACAGCTAACAAGAACAGGCCTGTTTATACATACATACATGTATAGTATATATAAATTACTTTTTTTTAATTTTGTTTAAATTACTTTGTATAAATTACTTTTTATTTTGTCTTGCAGGAGGTACCGGTTTCCTCGGAAAAATCTTAGTTGAGAAATTATTACGAAGTTGCCCTGACATTTCTACAATATACTTACTAGTGCGGTCGAAAAAAGGCAAGAGTCCTGAAAGCCGACTAGATGAAATATTCGAAAGTTCGGTGAGTGGGAAAAAAAGCTATATTGAGTTAATGTGAATTTGCGAAGCACTTTATTAAGCCAATTTATAATCTGTAGCTCTATGCTCGTGTAAAAAAAGAAGTACCTGCTTTTCGCAAAAAAATCGTTCCAATCGTAGGCGATCTCGAACTCGAGGCCTTAGGGTTGTCGAAAAAAGATAGAAACATTTTAATACAAAAGGTACGTTATTCAAATTATTCCTGTCAATCTTTCATTTGTATTACGTTTCAAATAAAAATTTCACAAACACACACACACACACACACACGCGCGCGCGCGCGCGCGCGCATGTGCATACATTCATATATATAACATGTTTTACAAAATTATAACTAATAAAGCAATCAGAAAAACAAACTTTCTTTCTCTCTCTATTATACTTTTTCTATTAAGTTTCATATTTATATATTATAGCATAACCGCATATTCATTTCAGGTATCTATAATTTTTCACGTTGCGGCTAATGTACGCTTTCAAGAAAAATCCAAATTTCTTATACGAGCAAATCTTATCGCTACCGATTTCATTTTGCACTTCGCTAAACTTATGCCAAAATTAAAGGTACAATTCTTTCTTCTAATAAATGTATTAGTAAAAATAATTTAAAAATGTTATTAATTTTAACGCAAATATAATTTGTATTTGGTATAAATATAATTTTATTTCACCGCCGTTATACCTTGATATTTATTTTGCAGGTATTTATTCACGTATCATCCACATATTCGAATTTCTACGAGAAACATATCGAAGAACGTTTCTATACATATCCTGTTAATTACAAAGATCTTATTACATTTTACCACACTTTACCCGAAAATGTATTGGAGGCTAAGATAGCCAAGTATGTACTTCTTTTGTTTTTAATATAATATAATAAATTATTTAAACATGTCAATATTATTTAAGTAGCAGAATGACGTTCAAAAATGACAAAATAATGTCTATTTATGTATAATATATGTCACTACGTTGTCCTTTAACGTCACTGTGCTACTTGTGAAAATAAACTATTATTTTGACAGAATCGCCGCAAAATGGCCGAATACATATACATTCACGAAGGCAATTGCAGAAGCGCACATCAAAGACGAATGCGGAGATTTGCCAATAGGAATATTCCGGCCTGCCATAAGTAAATATAGTTAATTAATTTTATTAATTGATATATCAAACTTAGTTTACGCGTGGCAAATTTTTCTTTAATTTAGCAGGTTTTTGCATATAAAAATTTAATATATCATATTTAATATATATTAAATATATGCATATTAAATATATGCACAATTATTGCATTTTAACTAACTTTACGAATTATTTTTAGATTTGATTTATATTGAATATAATATATTGATAATTAAGAGTAAATTAAAAATTGTTTTATTTTAAAAAATGATTAAATAACGAGATTCCTTCTTAATTTTTATTCGGACTTGGGACCAACAATGATTAAGTTACATCTATTATTTACATATTATGTATTATTTACATATTATTTACATATCTATTTTTCTATTATTATCTATTATTATCTATTATTTATCTATTATTTACCTATCCGATTATCTATTATTTACATATATATTACGTATATACATATATAAGGCATCTCGTTTTTTAATCATTATTTAAATAAGGCATTTTTAAATTTATTTTTAGTTATCAAATATATTATATTCGATATACATCAAATCTAGAAACACAAAATAATTTCGTAAAGAGGGTTAGTTAGAATGCAATAAAAAGATGTATTATCGTAGTTTCAAATTTTCGTATTTTGCATGATTAATTTCTTTTATAACAAATGTTACAGTAAAAACTATAATGTAATTAACATTTTGCGATGCAATATTTGGTCTAATTATAAATTAATCGTTAAATTATTGTAATATAACTGACAGCGATTTCAACGATGCAAATAAGGATTTTATTCATTTTATTTTAATATACCAATTTTCCTTAAATCTGACGTTATTATGATAATTTTCAGTTCTTCGAAGAAAAATACATAAGGAAATGTAGAAATAAAACGACCCCCGAACGGTAGCGAAAACGCCTAAAAGTTGTACTCTCCTTTCTTCTTATTTTTACAGTGAGCTCTTTATAATTGTAACGTTGCTTTACAAAAAAATATGAGACATATTAAGATTAGATTTGAATAATACATACATATTGTATTCAAACATGCTAATTAATTTCAAAATTTCTAATACATAATGAAAACGTGTAATTATCATTCATCACAAAAATTAATATGTAATTACACCAAATAGTAAAATTGTAAATCTAGAATAGTTACATTTAAGTGTAAGTGCAGATAAATGAGAAGGAATTAAATGAACTTACTTTTTTAGTATCTTCCAGCGCTAATGAACCGCTCATTGGGTGGACTGACAATTATTTCGGACCAATAGGGTTCACGGTATTTATAATTAAAGGTTTGCAAAGACTTATGCTATGCAATCCTCACGTCTTGTTAAATATTGTGCCTGTCGATCTTACCGGAAACGCTTTAATTGCAAGTGCATGGGACGTGTTTAATCAATGCAGGTATAATTATCGTACATACAAACGTTGTTAAGCAAAACCGTACATACTTTCACAGGCGACTCTATTACCATTGAATTATTCAGACATAGTATATTATCTAACACATTCATCTGATCTACATTCCTATATCTTATAGCGATAAAAATAATTATTTTTATATTGCAATTGCAATCACAATTGTTGGCTGTATTAGATACCTATGTAAAACAACTTTATAACATAGCATGTTATAGCGAGCTGATTTTTGATATCAGAGCGAATATGTTAAATTGTTAAAATGTTAAATGTTTCTATGATCATACATTATAAATATCGACATATCGATTTATAACTTCGATATACGATGAAGTATTACATGCAAATCAATTATGTTTAAATGGATTTATTTTGTAGGAAAGGCAAAGACATGTTAATTTATAATTTCGTACCGCCGGCCAACTCACCGACATTGGGTGAATACATCTATAATGCCGTCAATATAAATAAGACGTATCCTTTGAACCAAGTCCAGTGGTATCCCTTTGTATTAATATTACAACGAGAAATATTCTACAGAGTTTGCATTTTGTTTTTTCACTTGCTTCCGGCTTTACTCGTGGACGCCGTAAGCATTTGCATAAAACATCGCCCGAGGTATTGTACAAATGATTAACGTGATGCATACATATATTTAGCAGTTTATAGAAACTAAACAAAATTACGTAAAACAGAAGATTATAATAAATTTTTTTATTCTTTAGGATGTGGAAACTATATAGAAGAATTCATAATAATTATTATGTACTCATACCCTTTATTATGAAAAAAAAGAGTTATTCCTATGACAATGTTGAAGCGATGTGGAATCGTCTGAAAGAATCGGATCAGCAATTATTTAAATTTCACTTTAATAAATTCGACTGGACGAAATATTTGGCCGATCATTACAAAGGCATATGCTTTTTTTTACTTAATGAAGATGACAGTACTTTGGAAATAAACCGTATTAGACATAAAAGGTAATAAATCGTTTTTAATATTAAATTCATTTTATTTTAATATAAATTAAATTTTTATTTAAGAATAAAATTATAAATTTTAGACTTTATTGGATGCATCAAACCTTCAAAATGGTACTTATCTTTGCCGTCGTTTGGATCATCTGGATTATATTTATAAAAGTATTTACATAACTTTATGTGATTTTCTACATATATTATTCTTTATATTAAATATTTACTTTAGTTGTTCTCTTCATAGCATGGCATATCTTATCAAGTTTAGAATTCTAAGTTAGTCTTTAAACGGTTTTTAATTACTTATTAAATTGTTATTAACAAAAAGAAGAATACAATTAGTGTTAAATGTGATATAATTATAATTCTACTAAATATAAATTCCGTATTATATGTATATTTATTGGGAAATAAATGTTTAAGAAATAGGTTTTCTTATATGTAAAGAAAAATAATAATATTATTTCATATTTAATCAATATAGTTAATTTATATTTAATTTTCTGTTCTAATTAATATAATACTTATGTAATGTATAAAAATTTTATACATAATACATAATAAATAGCTAGAAAACTCTTTTTTATTAAATATTTATGTTTTAACTTTAATACTTATATAATAAATCAGTAGTAATATTTGTTACGTTTATGATTTCCACCTGTTAATGGCTTAACTATCAAAGTAACATTTAATGTTTTCTATTATTAAAGTGAAATACTCTTAGTAACATAAAAAAAATAAAATCTTATTTTTGTTGCCGAAATAATGAGTAGAGATTGAGCTTCTCAAAATAATTCCAAGTTGATTTAATACTTAATTCTAATAAACACGACTTATCTAGATTTTTAATAGGGGTAATAGGTACATAAATACATATTTCTTATTCATTTATGTACACGGGTTATCTTATGCACATATTTGAACTTATATACTTAGCTGTTACATAAAATTTTTAATTCATAAAACCTGATTATTGCATGAATAAATTCTGCTAATTAAAATCTTATCTAATCTAAAAGACCGATATTATCTTTTTTTTTATGTAGCATGACTTATTTGCATTTTCAATAGAGGTAATAGGTACATGAACACGTATTTCTTATTCATTTATGTATAATCTTATATATAACACATGTATATGTATAAAATACAAGATTTTCTGTGTACTTCTTAGTCTTTCATATTATATTAAATCGAACAGTCTGAGATCGAGCAATGAGAAAATCAATAAGAAATTTTTATTTATTAATCTCTGTGTTAATCTCGTAAATAGTAAATACATGGAAACTGAAATCCACAGAACACCGATATAAAATTTTTACGCTGGACAGTCGATTTTTATTACAGGTATTTAACATGAAAGTAGAGTAAAATATTATAGTTTTAAGATAATTGATATTATTAAATTAGGTCTTTCTTTTTGTTTTTTTACCTATAGAGATAATGTTAACAACGGTTGTCACCATAAATAATGTTAAGATTCGATATATGTATCTAATGTAATCAACAGTGAATACAGATTTTATTTTAGAAAAAAAAAACAGATGTAATAACGTGTGCATAATTTGAAAGAGCTGTAAAACATAACATTGCATCAATAAAAAGTTAAAAAAGTTTTACGTAAGTAGAAGAATTAGCAATTCTTATAAGTGTGACGTTTCTATCAACGCAACGAAAAATCAAGGGATTTGTAATTAAAATTTATTTACGGAAACGTTTTTATTAACTCTAAACTATCACACTTGGATAAAATTTACCCATTTCTGAAGTGCATGCCATTCCGACAGGGTTGAAGAAGTGTGGTCGCGATGTGGGGGGGGGAGGGGGGAGAACTTACAAGTGTCCTCCACAACCTTCCATTATAAGTCACGTCATTCCACTTGGTACTGCCATTCCAGTCACGCGTAAAGTTCGACAATCGGTCTAGTTCACTCGGTCAAGTAAATGTTTTTTAAAGTGAAGCCATATAAGGTATTTTTCTTTTGAAAATACTACTCATGTTCTTTTAGAAACTATACTTTATTTTTTTTATTCGCCTCTGAAAAGAACTGCCATGTAAAAGAAAAATCAGCCTTTTTCGGAAATGATATAAAAGCTGATTTACATTTTTGGAAATTGTTCATGTCCTTAAGATCTTTGAGTGTTACTATCCATTCAGTTACCT